GGATGGACCGTATGTAGGTTGACTTATCATTGCTACCATTTTTATAATATCTTTGATTTAGTGAGATACTTTTAGGGTGCATTAAGGGTGCTTTATCTCCACTAGCAAAGTTTAATTTAGGCCCAGTTCTAAACCCATTATAGTTAGAATACTGCAGTTACTTCAGTGCAACAAGATCAAACTCAATGTAATACAATAAATTGTTTTTTCAAGAGTCTCATTTTAAAGCTGCTCAGAGGACTGGATGGATAAATGTCTTGTGTCCAGACCCTGTAATATTTATGCTTTAAAAGCAAAGCTTATTCCAAAGGATGTTTAACCAATGTTGTATTTTTATTTGGAATGAGGAGATCCATAAACATTGTTTAGCTTGAAATGATCATCAGCATCATTTCAAGATTTTTAAGATGCACTGCAGCTTTAAATTGAAATAGTATATATTTTTTTTGTCTAAGATCCACAAACCTGTTCCAGTGGACCCTCACCCTGCTTGAGTCTAGATAGATAAAAACACTAATAGTCACTGGGGAAGATGTGGCCAGCTACACTAAAGAACCCATCATTCTTTGTTTTGCCTCTGTAACTGTAGGAAGGTGTACTGACTTCCTGCTGTACAGAAGAAACAAATATTACCAAAAAGAAATTTTGACTAACTTTTCCCTTCTGTTGCTTTGGACTAGGCAGCTCACCCCTGTTTCTTCTTCCTTCTTGGAAGGCATTTCAGAAGGGAGCTGAGGAGAAATCAGAGGGCAAGCAGGATAAACAGCTTGTGCATCAGAGGGAATACATTGGTCTGTGTTCACACTTCCCTTATACCCACTGGGCTTTCTCCCCAACACTCAGTCCCCAAGATATTCTGTCCCTTTTTTCCCCTTTCCCCCTTCATTTGGAGGATTTTCTTGTTCTTCTGTGAGATTTATTTCGTTCAGTATCTCATGGCAAATCATCCATATAGCAAATTAGGGAGAAGAAAAATAAAACATGCATGGAGACCAGTCTCCATGGGTATTGGGCTCCTTCTCCCCCCCCCCCCAAAGGAAGGAAAAGCAGGAAAAAACATGGTACCCCCTTAAAGAGGGGCCCTGGAACCCAGGAATATATTTTCAACAGTAGGAGTCCTTTATCTGTCTTTCTTATCTTCTCATGCTGATTCTCTGGAAGGGATCAAATCTGAGAACCAAGCCCAAATCTAGTTCTTCCTAAATATAGGAGTACCTCTTTGGGATGAAGGAGAACTTTCAGTTTCATAACTTGAAACCACAGAAAAGGAGAAAGCAAGAAAATCGTTTCCAGTAAGACTTCTTTACATTCCAGCGTAAGAGGGAAGTTTATCTTTTAAATGTACCTCCTGAGAAATCTGTCAAGTTAAAATGAGTCTGACCTAATCACTATACAGAGTAGGAAAACTATTTGTGGAACAGATGAATAAGTGGTGGATTCATCAGTTAAAACAAAGTTGGTTTTGTGAAGCCCCACATGAGGGCATCTAAATCCTGTACAGCTAGCTCTTCCATGTTCCTTCCAACATGGGTTACTAGGCTAATCCTGAAAGAGGCGAAGTTTGTATTGTAGTTGGTTCCTGGATGAGAAGAAATGATGAAGCATCCTACTTATTCTTGAAACAGCTCAAGTTGGAAGCATTAAAAACCACTGTGAAGGTAGTCAACAAAGCAGACTTTTTTTTGTCAGTACTTCTAAAAATGCATACTCCACATCAACCTTTGTCAGCCTAACTGTAACTATTTCACTTTTACTGTTGGATTGCAGCACTTGCAATACAGCTCTTATACCCTTTGGGTCTTGCTACAGTGCAGAATTTTTTTTAAAGTGCTAGTTTTCTTAGTCAATGCCCTCACACAGGAAAGGAGTTCATTTTTACATGTTTTATGACAACCTATTAAAGGCTGTGTCTGGAGAAAAAATAGTACAAAGGAATTCAAGACAATTTGGATTTTCTTCAGTTTCATTCTAAATTGAGGATGTGGGGTGAGAGGAGAAATTTCTGGACTCCATATACTGGATGATCAGCTTGTAGGTTTTTGTTTCAAGAGAACTGAAACAAATCAGTATCTTTGGTCAGGATGAACTGTAGTTCCCTGTTGGCAGAGAAAGCTGTTGTTCTCGAGATTCTCCAACATGATTTAAGTCTGACAGGATCTCCTCCTCAAGATCAAGAGAGAATATTCAAGACTTAGCTTTTGAGTAGTCTTACAGGAGAGAGAAGACATGTAGCTGTTGTATTGGATATCACAGGTTAGTGGGAAAACCTGTTATAAAGCAACTCATGTCTGCATGATCCTCTAGTGATACAGGTGTAACAAAAGCACTCTAATCCTTTCAGGGTCAAAGTTAGAATGATTTGGCTAATGGGTAGGATACAGGATCATGTAGAGATAACAGATCATAGCAGCTGAGGTGCTTACCCTAGCAGCAGCTGCTTCCCCTCCCCTTGTAAAGGAGCTAAAATGTATGTTTGTTCATACCAAACTCTCCACTGTGCTGGCATCTAGTAAAAGTCACAATTTTTTCCACTTTGGAGCCTGGCAGAAGTTCAGGGAGTTGTGCAAGAGATGTATGGTACCTTGCCTTTTGTCCTCTGTATCTTGAATCATGGAAAGCTTTTAAGAAGATCCAGGGTTTCTGTCTCAGTGTTAAAATGTTAAGTGCCTGCACTATCTAATGTGGTTTACTTTGCATGCAGAAAGAGGGTGGTTTTTTTTTTTGGGGGGGGGGGGTTTACACTGAGATGTGTAAAGTATTTTCTTACTTTTTACTTAATTTTCCTAAAATTAATTAAGTGCCGCTATAGAATCCCAAGTTTGTCTGCAGTATTTTGACTTGGCATTCCATTGAGGCCCAGGAGAAGAAGGTATTAATGTATTTCTTCTCTATCAGAGAGAACTTTCCTGATAGTCATTTACCTGTGAACTTATAGTGGCAGAGCTTTGAGGCCTTAGCTAGTGAAGAGCAATACTGTGTGGTCCATAGCAGTACGTTGGCCTTTTAAACAGGTCTTTGTTTTCGACCAAAATAAGTGTGTGTGTATGGGGGGGCGGGGGAGGAGTGCAAGTTTTTTGGGCCATGACAGAACGCTTGCTATACCGTGCATATTCTTGGGGCCTTCAAGATCTGTGTCTGTAGCACATAGCCCTGTCATAAATGGAATATTTTGTTTATTCTTGGTCATTTGATTTCCCAAGAAAACTGCATCACTACGATGGTACCATGAAGCCTGAAAGTGAGGATCATTTTTTTTCTCTCTTGTTCTAGCAGCCAGCATCAAAACTATCGCTCCATGAGAACAGCAGTAGCCTCTCAGGCTGAGAAACCTTGTGAATATATGAGACCTAAAGAGTAACTACATGGTCATCCTTTTGTGTCTTCTGACAATGTTATCCATTAAGATTATAAATGGGCATTATTTTCATTAAGGGGTGCTCCTTTTTATGGTGTCTCAGTTGTAGAAATGGAATTTAAAAACCATTATTGAATTTCGTTCTGATCCTCCCTGAAGGCATTGTGCTGTAAAACATTAATGATTTAACGGGTCTGTGGACTTTATACATGACAGAGAACAGGGGTATTTATTTTGATTTAGCATTAATTTCCTTTCTCTTAGTTACAAAGTTCTGAGATATAGCACTCCCTTTTACGGAGCATTTCTTTGGCCAATTTTTTGTTCAAATTGGTTCTTAATTAAATTCTGCAGTAGGAGTGTATTTTACGATGGTACATATTAGCTTGTTAATAAGTTTAAGTCTAAGTGGAACATTACCCTTAGCTATGAAAAATGTCTCAGTTGGTGGGCCCTTTGGTGTAGCTGGCTATCCTATTTCCTGCTTGATGTGTTGAAATTAAGCTAAGACCCTGTTGGACCTTCCAACTCAGGGATGTTTTCAAAGGCAGAATACATTTTCTTAATGTATTGCAGATTAGTTTATAAACTAAATGGATGATCATGTCACAGGAAAGGAAAAACTTTCTTATTAGGAGGGTAATGAAGCACTGGAATGGGTTATCTAGAGAGGTGGTGGAATCGCCATCCTTGAAGGTTTTTCAGGCCCAGCTCAACAAAGCCCTGGCTGGAATGATCTAGTTGGGGATGGTCCTGCTTTGAGCAGGAGGTTGGACTACATGACCTCCTGAGGTCCTTTCCAACCCTCATTTTCTATGCAGCATGTTTAAAGTATATGAAACTGAAAAAAATGGGTAAGTTGTCCAGTGGAGGGACTGGTACTTCTGAACATTTTCATAGCTTTGGAAAAGAGCTGAGGCTGTGTGTCAGCACGGTATAAATAATAACTTGCAACTAAACTTCAAATGTTATGTAACTATTGGATTTACAATTTGGTTTACTGTGCAGGACCGTATTTACTGTTTGCTGATGTGGTGATTCATTGTCTTTCAAAAAAAATGTAATTTAGTGTTACCCTTGCTAAGATTTTTCAGACTTCCAGGCAGGTGTCACAAGGCCAGATGACAGGACCCTCTGGAAGAGAACATAGATTAAGTCAATGCCCCAGGTGTCAATATCCTTCTGTTTTAGCAAACTAATTGTAGTAAAATATAACAAGTACTTTTACACAAGTCCTAAATTATTGAAGGAAGATACTTTGGAGAATCTGATATAAATTAACGTCCTAAGTTAATGCATTTAGAGCCTAAAAAGTTTCATTGTGAAGGAAAAGTTGTTTTGTTTTGTTTACATGTAGCAATGCAAGAATTTGGGTGAATTGTTATACAAATATTTGGTCATGTGCTACTTTTAATGAAGGCTCTTTGATCGGTGTCAACTAAAAGTTTCATCTTGAAAATCTTCTGTTCATGACACATTCTGCTTTAACCACTCTTTCTATGATCTACTGAAACATTATTTTATTAATGCTGAATGCTTAACTTTTTTCTTTCTTTTTTCCTTTCTCTTCATATCCTGAAGTTCCAACTAACCTTTCAATGCTTTTTTTCCTTACCTCTTTTATTTGCTCCATTTATGCATTAAGTGGTTGCTTAGATTTAAGGTAAGAAACCCCAGGGCTGGATTTCCATTCTTATTCCTTGGAGACTATTACACACGGGGAGAGAGTTAAAATTAATATGTTGCTAATATTCTAAAGAGAATTAATCAGCCATTCTCCCTTTTTAAGCTGTACCCTTTATCTCAGTGTAATTTCACTGTGGATTGACATTTTGCAGTATAAATGGATGAGTATATCTGATGTTGCTATATCCTGCACTTAGTTTTAAAATTTCTACAATGAAATGCTGACTTACTGCAGTGGGTCTACTAGGCAGTTAACAAGGAAGTAGTATGTTAACATTGTTTAAGAATAAAAGCTGTATATGAGTAGATAGTTAATTCTAAACCTCCCCCTGTGTAATATTCTTTTTATCCTATATACGGTGTGATTTATTATTCAATTTGTGGTTCATATTTGTGTAAAATTACTCAGTTAAAGGATACCAACACTACAAAAAAAGTCATTTTTTTTAAAGTTGCAGTGTCACATTTTTTTAACTTTCAATACATGTATAAGTAACACAGTTTAAAATACTTTATAGAGAGAAACACTTATTTCTAGTATATGTATGTATTTCAGTATATGATTTAGCAGAGTATTATATAGATAATTTGTCAAAGTACTTAAGTGATTATTAATTACACTCTGTCATGTGAATAGTCTCAAGAGTAACAAAATAGTTCTAAGAGCAGGCCTTTTGGTTGTTAAAATACAGACATCATAAAAGGCTTGAAAATCAGATAGGTGGGGTTAAATTAATTTATATGTTACTGCTGACCTGCTTTTCTGGAAGAAAACCTAACAAAACATAAATATCTAATATAAGGTTATTGTTTTATTACTTAAGTGCACTATTAAAAATTAGTGGGTGATCAATTCCATTGATACCATTTGGATATTCAAACTGACAGCATTTCAGCGTATAATATTTCCACTTCTTTTAAATTCTTCCTACCAAGAAGAAAGAAGTTAAATATGATGCCATGTTTCACAAACTGAGGCTTTTAAGTGACATGTTCCAAATGTATAGAACCTGGCCTTAATAAAGCCTGAAGTGTTTTGTATTGAAACAAAAGGAATTTTCTGTACAGGTTGTTTTTTCTTGGTTGTACCCAAGTAAAACATAAGTTGTTGTTTTAAATATCAAGGCATTTCCTTTTTCATGTCCTTGTGATAAGGTATTTTCAGATTCAGAATTTTCAGATTTGTTGGAATCTGACATGGCTGTGCCATGAGCACTTCTGCTGTGGCCTCAAACTTGTGACCTCTGGGCTGTCAACTGTGTGCCTTAGTGTCCATGCCACCCCAGCCCCTGCAAGACATTTAAACATCTTGATTTTGGAACTGTATATTCTCTCCTTTTATCTCCTGCCTCCTTTTTATTTTTTCTTCGCTACTGATGATGAGTCGTCCCTGTCCACCCCCGGTACTCAGTGTATAACCTATACTTGATGTTGTCACTTTGTCAGAATTACTTTAGAAAGTATTTGGCAAATTCTCACCATTTTCATAGTGTTCCTCAATCACAGTTATGGGCAAGTAATAATCATTCTCAATGTATTATTTATTATAATCTGTAAATATATATTTATATATAAAGAACTGCTAGATCTTTTCTCCTGCAGTAATAGTGAGAGCCTCTCTTTTGTGTTTCAGAGTCAGGAGAAATGTCTTCTATGTACAGATCTTGAATGAAGCTAGTGTGTTTCCTTTATCATGTTGGTCAGGTTAGAAATATTTTAGAACTACTTGTCAAAGAGGTACTTTGATTTAAAGGTTAATGTGGGAAGGTACAGTGTGTCAGTCTTTTGCAAGAGTGAAGTGGTTTTAAAAAAGATTGTCACTTCATTGGAGATGCACAGCTTGCCTGATCCTTCTTGCACTTATACATCTGTCAGTCAGTTTTGTCAAGATTTAAGACCTTAAAATAAAAATGGGGCCTTCTAGCTCATTTCCATGCAAACACTGCTGAATTAGAATTGTTCCCCAGTTGGGAGGACTGCATATGTAATAGCATTTATTATTTTTGTGCAAACATAAGCTAAAGCCTTGGCTAACAAGAAAGTTGCACTGGTTTAAAGAAACAGGGTTTAAAATTGCAAACCATTGTGTAGCTACCATTGTGGTTTGAGTGGCTTAGGTTTAATCAAAAAGATTCTTAATACACGTCAACAAAAACCAAAGAAGCTTCATCTAAAATAAACCAAATGGTGAAAACTATTTTTGTTGCTTTAACTGAATAAATTTAAAATTGTATCTAGTGGAGGGGGGCTGGACCTGATGATCTGTAAGGTCTCTTCCAGCCCCTAACAACTATGAAGATTAAGTCACTGCATCTTTGTGTGCACAAGATCTAATGTTTCCATTGCTTTGTGTTAGATTAATCTGTTAAAGAGGTTTACTCACTTTTCAAGAGTTGTACTTTTGTTTCATGTAAAAGCGAGGGATGAAACTCCAAGGTTTGGGCTCTTAATCCTATGCTCAATCAGTTGACCATATAATTTAATTAATGCGTGAAACTTTGTGTGCAAGTGGTTGAACAGAGCCTATGCTGAGGTAGTGAACTACATCCTGTGAAAAGTTCCCAAGGGTTGAAATGTTGAACCAGAGAATTTCTGCAGTTCTTTGAAGGCTGCTATCATGGAAAAATATTTACTCTTTAAGCTAGCATGAAACGTCTGCTGTTTAAGTCAGTTGCTACGTAATGATCTTTTGCTGTCTGATTGCCACACAGTGCTATACTGAAGAAGCTCAGTTTATTTCATTTATAAATATGTCACCAGATCATGTAATTTTTTCAGACCAGGGAAGTCTATTTCTGATAGTGGAAAACTTTTAATATAGCAAACACTCATCAAGATCCAGTGGCTAGAAGCTGAAGCGAGACCACTAGAAATCAGATACAGATTTTTAACAGTGATAATAATTAATCATTGAAACCACTTTTCAAAGATGTGCTGAATTCTTTATCACATGAAGTCTTGAAGATTGGGGTGTTTCTAAAAGGTATACTCTAGCTTAACATGAATTTATAGATTTAAATAAGGGAACACTGGGTGACCTGTGTTAAACAGGAAGTCTGATTCACATTAGCTTTAAAAAAACCCCCCAAACCCCTTATAAATGTATTTTGATTTCTGTTCTCTTCAAGCAGAATTTTAGAATTCCCATTCTCCTTTTGTAAATATTTCAGTTAAAATAGCCAGCAGTGTTGAGGCAGTTGGGATGTTAGCAGATGAATTGCACAGATTCTCTTGATTACTTTATTGATTAATAGTCTAAACTACAATTATTGCTTATACCCTTAACATAATAAGTGTTTTTTTAACATGGAGATATTTGAACTTGTCTAGGATTCTATTTCTTGAAAAAGCTTAGAATGCAAGACTATGGCATTGTTAAAATGGAGATTTAGTTACATTCATGGAGTGCTGGAGTGCTGAGAAACCCAAAATGACAGTGTATACATAGGCTAAGCAGTTTTGGTCTGAAGTGGGTCCTGGAAAGAAAATACAGAAGTTCATCTGTTATATTATCCTGTTTTAAAAATCTTTTTTAGTGCCTTTCATAGAAAGAACTGCTTTGCTTCCTTTTTTTTGTAATGAAACAGAGTTGCAGCCTAATTTGACAGTATTTAGTTATGGACAGTTTGACAGTATTCATATATTTCTTCATTAAACTAGTGATTCTCTCCAGAGTGCTGTGGCACCCTGGGATGCTCTGAGATCCTTTGAAGGGTACTGTGAGGTGCTATGCAGTGCTAACACTGTTAAGTATGATAACATGATTCACAAGATAAGTCCAGAGACTTCAAACAGGAACGCATAGTGTTAAAACAGTTTGACCTACTGTGAGCTTTTTAAATTCTTTGCAACAGAAACAATATTGTTTTTGTTGTTAAAAACTGTTGAAAAAGAGCTGGTATTTTCTGAGGGCTGCCTTGAGTCTAATGTGTGGTGCCTTGAGTCTGAAAAGGTTAAGAACCTCTGTACTGAATAGTCTGAGAGGAAACTTGAACTGACCTTCACACTAGCTGAGCATCAGAACAAATGAGAAATGTAAGCATCTTGTGTTGTCATTTGTATCCCACAAGAGTAGTGAAAGTTAGACCAGTAAGATCTATTTATGATGGTATGCTGTGTATGAATTTGGGAAGTTCCCCTGTGTTGACAAGTAGTCAAGTTGGTAGGTGGTAAAAACTCCTATGAGCTTTTTGTGGACAGATGATAGTTCAGTTAGTGAAATACGGCTATATTTATCATTGGTGGTGGAAGAATAGGAAACACAATCACATTTAAAAAACATGGAGGCTGCTTACAGATGTTTAAAAACCCCCCAAAAAACAACAATGGCGTTTTACTTTAAACTGGGTGCTCTCCCGTGCCAAGCCTGGCATGTACCCAGAAGAGGCATTGCGCTAGTTGGACCCGGCTTGGCCGATGTCTATATAGGTTAGGCGCTTTAGTGAGGGTTTTTTTGGCACTTTTATCTAGTAGCTCATTGAATCAGCTTTTAAAAGCATTAAAAAGCCCCGCTGAAGCACCTGATCTATGCTGCGGAGCTGGGTTGAACCTAATGAGCTTCTGGTAAAGTACCAGGGGGGGGGGGGAGGGGGTTGTTTTGTTTTTTTAAATGTGTGTAAGTAGCTGGAGATGCGCTGCCTATCATGCTTTTGTAATACAGCAGTAAGTGTGTCCACTTCTTGAGTAGAATTCCTTGTTTGGAATCCTTAACTTCCAGTGTCATGCAATAAAGATTGATTTTTGAACTTAAATAGTCAACAATGGGGTGACCTTCCAAATCAAAAGATTATAGTAACAGCTGCATTTTGAATAGATATAGACTATTTTTGCATGGTTATGTACAAACTTGGAGCATGAACAGCTTTAGGTTAATAGATCAAGTCCAGAAAGGACCATTGTGATCTTCTAGCTTGACTTGGACTTCAAAGGATTTTACTAAACTAATTTTTGCTTCACTATTACTATTAATTAAACTTC